TTTTGTGAAAGTAATTCGTAACTTTTGTTTCGTTCTCGGTTCCTTTTTCAAATTCTATTTGTCGATTATAATAATTAAGTGGTCTTTCTGTGATTTGTAAATGGTTACTGTTGTCTTCTTGAGCACTATGTATTGTTGCTCTTGTGCTAATTGTATCTTCGCCTAAGAAGTTTTCGTTTAATTGAATTCTGGACAGAGCATCTGCCACATAATTTTCTTTTCCTGGGACGTATTTAATTTGGAAATCAAACTCATTTAGCTTGATCTTCCACCTTTGTAATTTCATGTTAGGTTCTTTCATATTATTTAACCAGACGAGTGGTCTGTGATCACTAAGGATTTGAAATTGTCGACCAAAGAGATAGGACCTAAAGTATTTAGTGGCCCAAACGATTGCTAATAATTCTTTTTCAATCGTTGAATAATTTAACTCATGCTCGTTGAGAGTTCTACTTGCATAGCATATAGGCTTATGCTCTTGCGAAAGGACGGCCCCTATTGCCATATTACTCGCGTCTGTAGTTAATGAAAATGGTTTTTCGAAGTTAGGGTATATTAAAATTGGGTCGGATGTTATGAGTACTTTTAGCTTTTCAAACGCTAGCTCGTAGTCTCTGTCTTTTATATTGATTTTTGCTCCCTTTTTTAATTTAAGTGTTAATGGTTTTACTATATTAGCGAAATTTGGTATAAATTTCCTATAGAAACCACATAATCCTAGAAATGATTTAATTTCTTTTGGGGTTTTTGGAATTGGGAATTTGACAATTGCTTGTATCTTGTTGGGATTTGGTTTTATACCCTCAGTTGTGATGATGTGACCGAGAAATTCAGTTTCTTTTCTCATAAACTCGCATTTATCCAACTGTAGTTTTAAGTTAGCTTCTCTAAGCTTCTTAAATACCTTTTGTAGCGACAAAATGTGTTCCTCCAATGAAGTGGAAAAAATAATAATGTCGTCTAAGTAGACCAGACAATCTTTAAAAATTAAATCTTCTAAGAGATTGTTCATACAACGTTGGAACGTTGCAGGTGCATTCTTAAGACCAAATGGCATGCGAGTGTACTCGTAATGGCCATGTTTAGTCGAAAATGCGGTCTTGGGTATTGAACCAGGATCCATTTGGATTTGGTGGAAGCCTTTGGCTAGATCAATGGTTGTGAAATATTGACATTTTCCAAGTTTGTCTAATATTTCATCCATGATCGGGATAGGGTATTTATCATTAATAGTTAGTTCATTGAGATTGCGGTAATCTATGACTAACCGGAACTTTTGCTTTCCAGATGCATCGTTTTTCTTTGGAACGATTATTACTGGTGAGCAGTAAGGGGATTTGGATTTACGTATGATATTTTGTTTTATCATATCGCTTATTTGTTTATTTACTTCCTCATCGTATATTTGAGGATATTTGTATGGACGCTTGTAAATTGGGTCCTCATGTTTTGTTAGAATTTTGTGTTTAATTGTACTAGTGAAAGTCAAATTGTCACCTTCATGGTACTGGATATCACGAAATTCATGTAAAACTTTTTTTATTTTTTCTTTTTCTTCTGAGTTTAGGTGCTCTAGCCTAAACTCATTGTTTTCTATTAATTCATTATTAATAGCGAAGTTAAATGGTCTGTCCTCTGTTGAGGGTGGATCAAGGCACTCTTGTGCGGTCATGTCCTCTTCGACCTCTTCGTCGTTATATCTAAAACAAAAGTTAAATTCTCCTAAGGTTACGGATCCTTGTGCATAGTCTATTTTTGCTTGACATGCCTCAAGGTATTCTCTCCCAATCAGAACATCATAATGCTCTGAGAAGTCGTGAATATAGAATTTTTGTTTGCTCGGACAAATTTTGCTTGCTCCTAATCGTATACTTTGTTTTAATTCAATAACACCATTTATGGTGTGAACCTTTAATGTTTCGTTGTAAACTGGAAAATTTAAGCGGTTTGTTTTCATTAGATTTATGGTTGAACCTGTGTCGATGACACATTTTAGAACTTCGTCATTCATAATCAATTTTATGAATGGATTTCTTCTGTTTGTTCCGAGGCTTGCTGATGAAAATTTTCGGATGTATCCATTTTCATCTGCCCACTGTTACTATCTCTTTGACGTTTAGTCGGAGGGTTTGGTGCATTCAAGCGTGAATGGGACTGATTTTGGTAGTTTAAGGGATTTTGGTATCTACCTTGACTTAATTTCTGTTGGAACTCGTGGTGAGCTTTCTGATTGTCTTCGGACTTATTATGCTGTTTATTTTGTGCGTGATAACTCTGATTCGTGTTGGAATAGCCACTTGAAATGGTGGTTGGGTTAGCATTTTGCTGATAATTTCCCATGTTCCTACGATTGTTATTTGGATTTCCCTGAACATTATTATTTTTAGGTTTTTCAGTAACGCTATTTTCATATAATCCCTCTCTTTGAGCTACTTGCTTTAGTTTTTGTGTCGACGTAATGTCGTGTCTGGCTAACATCATGAAAAGCCTATCTGGTAATTTTTTTGTAATAACATCTTTGATTGTGTTATTCATAGCATTTGTATAAAGGGTTGTATTGCTAGGTATATTTTCTAGTGCTAACTTATTTAAAATAACAAAAGATTTATTCTCGAGCTCCTCGATGAACTTACGGACGTTTCCTTGGTAATTCGTGTTGTATAAGCGTCGAAGGAGTTCTTCAAATGGTGTCTGCACTTTGTATTCTTCAATCAATGCGTTTCTCAGCTCCTGCCAAGTGTTGGCTGCTGTCCTTTGTGATATTCTCTGAGCATCTCCTGTGACTTGCAATTCGATGGCTCCGTATAAGATGCTATGTTGTCTAACATCTCGGGTTGGATACAGGTGTAGGATGTAATCTATCCTTTTAATGAAGGCGTTTAGTTGATCCGTTGATCCGTCAAAGCTTGGCACCTGTCTAAGTTGTGAAAGGGCCTGGTTGAGGTGTTGTTCTGATAATTCCATTGTCATCTTGGTGTAATACACTTTTTTTTGAATAGTTTTGAGTTTGTAGGTTTGAACTTTATTGTTCTTTGATTTTGCACTTTTATTTTAAGTTAAAGTTTGTGATGGATTATTGTGCAAATGTTTTTTTTTTTTTTGTGTGTGTGTCTTAAAAAGACTCAGTAATAACGTATTGCAGGGATCAAACGATATGCAAAGCCAGTCGTTATTAACTGTAGTAGCTTTATTGCCCAAAGGGTCAATATTATTAAGCTACTAATGACCCGAAGGTTCTTGTGCGGATACGTATTCGAGAAAATTTTTATTACACTCCGACAACACTTTCGGTCGCGATTGTGCGTTAGATCTGGGAATTAATTATCCTTTAGCGATCTTTAATTTTTCCCGACGTATCCTACCGGCTGCGCCAATTAAGTTTTACACGTTAGGTTACTATAAAAAAATATATTTCAATTTATTATTTTCACTTAACGGCTACTTTTGTTGAGTACATTCAGATTTGCTTCCCGAATATGAACTGATTTATCTAACTGTTGCGGTCGCTTAGCAAACTTCGCTTTGAGAGAGTTTGAGTCAAAATTGAGTGAAGTTTGAGCTGCGTCAGCAATTATGCGTGGGATAGTACTCTGATGGGAACATTGACAGTGGCGTGATATTTAGGGTGAATTGTTTATGTCTACCAAAGGGGGACAGTTTGATCTTGACCAATGTCGATGTTATCACCAGGCTCTTTGTTTACAATATTAGAAATGTTTATAATTGTGCTTATGCTTATGTGCTAAGTTATGTTAAAGGGTGGGTGCGACTATGGATATGTCACTATATAGTACTTATTTTTTGAAGAGTTAGCTGGGGGATAAATCTCGCCGAGTCTGCGGTCGCCTCGTGGGCGGGCAACAGGAAATTAACGCCAGGCTTAAAGTTGTTTTGAAGTAGCCTGAAGAAAGCAAAACAACATTGCTTTGGTCGGGTGTGCCTGACTAGTAGATGCCCTGCAGCGACTGTGCTAACCCGACATATCTCGAGTAATGTCCTCTTGACATACATAACCAAGAGGAGCTGGGGGAAATCCAGGAAAATGAAATATCATTAATCTGCGTACATGTACTCCATGTGGTCGTAGATGCTTTCTGCTGGCTTCTTAAATATTGTTCAGTGCTGCAGGGTGTTAGAAAAAAATGTCTGCAAATCTCGCATATGAAAAACGTTTGAAGGATTAGTCAGGCAGACCTCTGTGTTGCCTAACATAAGAGTTCCAGTTGGAGCTCAGCCCAAGCCATTAAAAGCCTGCAGTAGGCCTAAGTCCAGACTCGAAACTTTTCTTATACATATATATCTGAACGTCGTCTTTGACTTTGGGGCTATTCAAAGATGTTTCTGTGCAAGCTAATGCAAACGCATTACCTTCATCTATTCTGGCCGAGAAGTTGTGCTCGGCCTTGCAACATAATCTTCATCTGCACCAGGGCTCGGCTCAAGCGTCTTTCATGCCCACCTCCATGGTCAGATTAACTTGTTATGTGTATTAAGCCAAAACTTGCATTAATAGCTGACAGCTCTTGGCCAGCTCCAAGTTGAGTTTTGTTTCACTTCTGCTAGGCTGAAAACATGTTCTCTTCAAATATAAGAAGTTGACTTGCGAGCTGAGCTTAACATATAATTTATGAGTACATGACTCGCCTTCTAAGTGCAGCTCACCTCCATGTTCACCTCCATGGTCACATGAATGCTCGCTAAAAGCTAGCATAGCCATAAAACTCTTGAGTCGGAGCAACTTGAATTGTGCAACTCTGCTGTCTAGAGCTGTCGCCTTTGTTTAGTTTTTTTTTTTTTTCTGCAGCCTGGCTGGCAACCCTGGCCCGTTTCCGATTCGCATTCTCGCAGCGAGCTAGTAGTCCTGGACAAGTTTGGAACTGATTTTGTGTCAGGGCAGCTGTAGTTGAGTTTATTTTGACACGATTGCGTGAGCTGGCGAGAGAAAGGAAAAATATTGTGAAAAAGCTTAGAAGCATTATTGTGTCGAAAAAAGCAAAGAAATGGAATCGTTGGGCAACAATCGCTATCAGCTGCTCTTCATCGACGATGATGCCAGCGATCTGTGCCTTGGCCAAAAGAAGCTGCAGGAGACCGGCGGCCAGCCGAAGCACAAGCGCAGCAAGCTTCCAAACGGCGGCGACAAGGCCAAGACCCTCATCCTCAACAAAAAGCCCCTACAGCACAAGCTGCTAATCTCGAAGAGCAACGGCAATGGCCATGGCAAGGGCGACGGCCTCAAGTCCGATCGCATCAAGATAGCCAATGCCACATTTATGACCAACAATGGCCTTAACAAGACAGACCTAAAGAAGACCAACATGGACCAGCAGCAGCAGCAGCAGCAGCAGCAGCAACAGCAGCTGCAGCAGCAACAGTTGCAGCTGCAGCGACAGCAGCAACAACGCGAACAGCTGCAGCTGCAGCAGCAACAGTTGCAGTTCCAATTGCAGCAGCAGCAGCTGCAACAACAACTGCAGCAGCAGCTGGAGCCGCCGCAGCCGCAGCAGCGCCATTATCGAGAGCGCACCGTCTCCAGCCGCATCATTAGCAACAGCAACAAGGGCGGCGGCGGTGGAGTCAGCGGGGGCGGAGGCAGCGGGGGCTATGGCTATGGCAGGCTATACAAAAGCAAATTCGATCGCCATTCGGGCTCGGATAAGACGGGCATCAAGGCGGTGGTCAAGCGAAATGGCGGCGGCGCCCACAACTGGGGCTCGGTGATCAAGGACATTGAGGAGCAGAGCATTGCCATGAAGAATCCCGTGCAGTCCGACAAGGACGATTCGTTCAACGAGCTGCAGCAGCAACAGCGCCAACAGCAACAGCAGCCGCAGCAGCAACAGCAGCAGCAGCAGCAACAACAGCAGCAGCAACAGTTGCAGCTGCAGCAACAGCAGGGCGGCGAGAACCTGATCGAGGAGGACGACACCAAGTACATAACAGTGGAGGAGTGGCGCGCCATGCGCGTGGAACGGGCCAAGCCCATCTACAACATACGCAAGGCCGGCGAGGGCGAGGTGAATAAGCCGGACTGGAAGAAGATGATTGTGCTGCCCAAGAAGAAGCCATCGAAAACTGACAACGATTCGGGCCTGGAGTATGATGCGTCCATGTATCCGCAGCGCGTTGGCCGGCTGCAGCGCATCATGGATATTGAGTTCAAGTTCAAGGATGATCGTCGTCGCAGCGGCTATCTCAGCGGCTGGGCGGGGGGGCGTCCGCTGAACAAGTCCGAGGCGGAGAGCGTGTCCGATCCCATCAATATGAACGATGAAATTGAGTTTCCAACACTTGGCTAAGGCTTAGTTGCGGCCCAGCCAGCAATCTAACTGTATACTTAAGCAATTAATCAATCAATCACTCAATTAATTAATCAATCACCATCAAGCACTCGAATTAATCAAGCCATCAATCAATTAATCTAGTTAACAAACAATTGTTTAAGCAGCCTGGAATTCAAACAGCTAGTCAATCAATTAGTCAATCAATCAATCAATCAATCGATCAAGTAATCAAACAATCAATCAACAGACACACACACATACACACCAAGCCACATCAATCACATACTTACTAGTTCGTCTACGAGAAAGAAAGAAACCAAAAAAACAAAAAAAAAATTGTTTAGAGTTGTAAAATTTTGATGGAATTATTGTTTTTATGTATTTCGAATGCGATTTCAAGAACTATTAAATATATAAACACTTAACTGAACATAGCCTGTGCTCGATTTTCATAGGGTAGCAACGACTTTCTCGGACTTATTATGATAACGGAAAGATCTTTCGTGTCTTATGCGAGTTGGGATAATGGCAGCAGAACCTAGGCAACTCTTATGAGCGTATAGATACGATGGACCTCTGTCTGAGAAGGGTACTCTGGGTACATCTGAGTCGACGCTAGGTGTGTGCCACGTTTATTACCTGAAAATCGAATAAAGATCGGACAACAGAGGCCGAAGTTGCCATTGAGAATGTTTTGTTAGCGCCGCTTGTGGCTGGGCTCAGACTATCTCCCGTCTAGAGCACAGCTACAGGGTATTTACCAATCGACAAGTCTCAAATGGATTATCCAAGAGTCCAGCTTGGACACGAGGCAAGGCGCAGAGCTCGCTCTGCTGCAATAAATTGGATATCTTTTGAGCTGCGTTTTAATTAAAAGTCATAAAGCAGTTCCAGTTGTCCTTCAGGGCTTAATATTGTGTTTGTGAATTGAACGCAATTCGATTAGCCGAGCTAATTTTCTTATGCAATTGCCTGGCCGGGCCTGGGCGGACTCCTGCCATAAATTGGCTTCTTATGCCATAATGGGGCTCCTCCCTTTTCGCACCGACTCGCCCCGCCAACTTAGCTGTCAACTTTAACTGCAACTTGTAAAAAATTAGTTGCTGCTGCAGTTGCTGCTGCTGCGTTTCATATTTTTCATAATTAAAGTGCAAATAAAAACTAGCAGGCAAACAAACAATTGCAATTAAATGTGTGCGTGTTTGTGTTTGTGCTTTATTTTTTTTTTTTGTACTTCTCTGTCCTGTTGTTGTTGACGTTAGAGCGTTTCTCTTGCGAATACCCTGTAGCTGTTTCAGCTGCAGCATATTAGCGATTGCTGTGAATGTGCATTGAGCTCAGCACGAAGCTTAGATTTTGTGCATACAATCAAATAAGACTTTAATAAACTCTCACCTAGATCCTGGAAGGGAAGATCCTTGCAGCTGTTTTTCGTGTATTGTGGCTGTGGATTCCAAAATCTCTGAAAGATGTGAGTTTGAAACCGACCGAACTGTACTTAAGGCCCCGCCCCGTCTATCCGAGGTGAGTTTGAACCAGAATCCTCGTCCGACTAATCTCTAACTAACTCTAGCAAACAGAATTTGTGGAAATGCCCGAGAGTATGAAACGTGTCCATAATTAATTTTCACAGATATTTGTGAAAATGGGCTTGAGCATGATCGAAGTTTAAGCAATAAGGTTTTGCTTTCCACCAATTTTCCACTGTTGCGGGTGGAAGTTGTCCAAATTCCGTTTTGGTGTGCTTGCAGTTAACTAAAGTCAGCTGTCTAGCTCTTGCTATGAGCCAATCATTCAGTCAATCGATCAATCAATCAATCAATCAGTCAATCAATCAATCAATCAGTCTAGGCATTAGATGGAGATTATCTCTGGAGAAACGCAACACAATCTGGTTGCATGAACTAAGCCCCAAGACGAACCAATGCTGGCTACAGGGCATTGGCTAGTCGCGCATAGCCCATAGCCTGGATCAAATGCTGCTGTTTGCTTTGCTGGCTATTTTTTTTTTTTTTTTTCTAGCTGTAGATGCTCGCGGGCTCATAATTCACTTTTTATTATCTCATATTTTATGGCAGCGCATGAAGTGCACTAGAGTCGAAGGGGGTTTGCCGAAGAGGGGGGGTGGGGGAGGTGTGTGAGGGATGAGGTTGTATATATAGTTGGTGGTTGGCTTGTAAGTGTTATGCACACACACGCACACACACACTCTCGTTTGCATCGTTTAATTCATTTAGTTTTTGCTTTTCAGCGCTTTATTTGCTTAATCGCTGTGTTTACGCATGTCTGTGCCTGTTTGTGTGTGTGTGTGTGTGTGTTTGTGTTTCTGTTTGTCGATTATGTAATTAAACACACACACACTCACACGCTTGACTGCATTTTGCAATTACTTCAACAGCCAAACAACAACAACAAGAGGAAGCAGCTGAAATTAATCAAAATATAAAACAATTCAAACAGCTGCAATAACAGCTATGGCCACGCCTCCCGCTGCCGCCCACTTAAGCTGTGTTTGACAGCATTTTGCATTTGCCAGCATATGCTTAACACGCACACACACACACAGGCACACATGCACACAAACTCGCAGAGTTTACGTTTAACTAAATGTAAATATTTTAGCGAAGCAGCAGGAGCTGCTGCCGCTGCCTCAGTCGGCGTCGCGGTCAGCGTCTCAGCTCTTGCTGCTGGCAACATGAATTCATTAGACGTTACACACACCCCAGTACACACACACAAGCACACACACACACACGAACGCACACTTAAGCACAGCTTCATTTCGGCATTTATGTGAAATTATTTTCGATTATTCTGCGAGGGTCTTCGTCTCCGCGCCCAGAAAAGTATGCTGTGATTTTTGGCACACACACACAGACACACACACACACATGCATAAATCAATATATGTAACTCATGCGATCATAAAAATGTGCATAAAAAAGCAGCTCGTCGAGTGTAAGAGATTTATGGTATATGTTAATGCAAGACACACAAAGACGCCCCCGCCCCCCACCACACGGCCGCCCTTAGGTTGCCTCCCCCCACCCCTCCCCCCTCCCACCCTGCACCCATGACATCAATGCACAGCTTTTGAGAATTCGCTGTTCAACTCAATTTCACAAAAATGTTAAGAAAACTGTTTCAAAATACGATTTATGCCCTCATCAAAATACATAAATGCCAAAATGAAATTTCCTCAAATTGATATCAGAGGAAAAGTTGCTCGAAAAAATGAATAAACGAGTGAATTACCGGCTTTAGATAGAAGGTATTGGGTATTATCTAAAGCAATTTGTGTCACATATACATGCCGGCTAATATGCTTTGGCATCTGTTCTGCGAGCGAGAGCATAACTTGTTCTGCTTGAAAATAATATCTATTTTCTATATCCCATGGCCCATTTCCCATATGCAATATATCTTATAATCTTTATCCTATTCTCAACATATTCCACATATCTCACGTAGCCCATATACCCCACATATTCCAAACATTACACATATTGCACATATTTCACATATCCCACATATCTGCCATATCTAAAGTAAACCACAAATCATATATGTCATTCATATACCACATATCCCAAATATCCCATATATACCTTTTATACCAAATATTCCACATATCGCACATATCCCACATATCCCACATATGCTACATATTCCACATATTCCACATATAGCACATATAGCACATATAGCACATACAGCAAATAACACATATTCCACTTATATCCTAAATCCAATAGATATAGGATATCTTTTTTCCACTCATCTCATTTTCCACATATCCAACATATCCAACATATCACTTATATCTCACTTACCCCCATATGTCCTATAATCTCTATCTGTATCTGTATTTGTATCTGTATCTGTAATTCTATTTGGTTTGTATCTGTATCTGTATTCATATCTTTATCAATGTCTTTCGATGTAGTTAAAAGGGCATTTGGTAGTCGAATTGAGTGCACAACTTTCAGGCTGGCTGTGCTTATTGTTATTCGGATTCTGTTTTTCTATGCGACTCACTCCTTAATCTGGTAATTGTTACAGTCTCGGCCATAAAAATAAAAACTTTTGCCTGCTGTTTCTTATTTTAATTTTTATTGACTTGTTGTTTTCTACACTTTTTTCTCCTATTTTCTTATATGTGCGCTGTGCCTCCGTCTACGGCTTTTTGTTATTTTCTTTTATTGCTAACGCGTATTCGATGTGCCTCTCTCTCTCTCACTCTCTATGTGTGTGTGTCTTTCTCTATGTGTTAGTGTGTGTGTCTGTGTGTGTGTGTGTGTGCTGCTTCTTGTTGTTTGCTGCCTGCCTCGTTATTTGATTTTGTTTCTCGATTTGCCATTTTGAATTCACTTCATTGAATTGTTAATTTTATAGCCACACACACACACTCACACACACACTCACACACACTCGCGCACACACACACACACGCACACACTCGCTTGTTGTTGTTTCCTTTATTGTCATTGCAAGTCGTCTATGGCCTGCGTGTTATTTTAGGTTATTACAGGCCACGCCCATTCCCGGCCGCCTCCTTACCACACCTCAGATCATTTGCAGCCTCCTGCAGCAGCGTTCGCCCCTCGCCTGGTTGGCGCTTGTTTATCATTTGGGCATATTACATTTTATTGCCCACTGTATTACATGCGAGCCCCAGCATCGAGCTGCGTTTGCGGCAATATGCGTCCAATATGTTTGATTACGTGGCACAAACGTTCACGGCGAGGATTGCCCGAACAGTTGTTAGATACAGACCCAAGACACTTGCAGCAACTGCAGACAAGTTGCATTAAAGCCAAGCCGTGGGAAATCAAACTGGGGAGCAAAATGCTTACTTTGAGGGAGACCCAGCTCGAAGGTATACAAATGTATATGAAAAATATGATTATAAAATAAAAATTAAATTGTTTAGGCTATGGCAAAGCGAGGTTTGGCATGTGACAAGCCAGATAAATGTAGGGAATGTAAAAGCAGAAAGCTGGTTCGAATCGTGA